TCGCAAAGTTTGGCATCACCCGGGACCTGGTGACGGACATGGTGTTTCGGGAGGACAGTGTCAACCTGGCCCTACAGCAGGGCGTTGTTTTGACCTTCAGCCGACCGGTATGCTTCATTTTCGTTTATAATTACAATCAGAGTCTGTACTATGTTGGAAATGCATCAATCGATCAGATTACGGGAAATGTTCATCACGCTGCGCTTCGAGCTCAAATTAGAGCCATCGCAGGCAGTCGCACAGCGACCAGAGGTACGTGTAGAATGAGAGTACCGGTAAAAACAAGGGGAACTGAAACTGTAATTTGGCGACTTTTAGGCGTCGTCAGACAGTCTTATCTTTCCATAGGTTTGTAGGAACTGAGGTTTGAACCCACATACTTGCATGCGAAGATCAGTTTGCACGCGTCAGTCTTCGGGCCAGCCTATACTGTACGCATATGCGAGGTAAGCTATTACATCCTATGTGAACCTGGCCTTAACAGTACCGCAGTTCGCTTGGGGTGAAGGTGTGAGGTCAATGCTGCCCAAGCCTTCTGTAGTCTATTTTGTGCTCGTATCTTCGGCTTGACGAAGGTCGTTATCGGTGGTTACGATGGGTAGGCCATCAGAGTAAAAGTAGTGTAATTAAAGAAACGCTATCTGCCTCCCCACCCCATCATTGTCATTCCCAATGGAGATAGACAAAGTGACGGACCTCAAGTCCAAGCCGACGCGATTCAGGAGATTTAGATGGAGCAGTGATGAGTAGCTCGCTTTAGTGAATTCATGAGGCTGAATAGGGGGAAAGCGATGTGGGTATGTCCTTAGGTCCGGATCTATGCTGCCGTTTGCGTCGACTGCGCGTCATATCCTCTTATTTTGTTTCTTTATCCATTTCCATCGTTCTCTTGCGTTTTTCCCCTGATCTACGCTCCTTTCTTCCTGTTGAAATCCCGAATTGCTCGTAGGTGGACTCTCAAGTCTCCGACGCCTGTTCCTACGATCGTGCTGAGAGTAACGGCTACGAGGGTGGGGATGGGACATCCGAGGAACAGACCTATCCAGATTACAGTCCGACATTGCCTTGTCATTCCTCCTCCCTACCCTGTCAGCAGACTGACAGAAGCTCGTGTTATTCCACCGGCTCAGATCACGCGGTTCCCTTGCAACTTCTTCCCAGCAGTAGTCCTGCTGCGGTGGAACCTTCCGCGAATCGGCCTTACCTGCCTCCGATGTTGCACCAAGCCTGGCCAGCTGGAGCACCTGTTTCCTGTACTGCCTCTTCAGGTTCCTCTGCTTCCTACCTTCCAACTTCACCCCGGGGGGCCATTGGCGGTTATAGTTTAACCAGTAAGCTGACCGCCTTTCCTGAGAGTCTCGGCCGCGATCCATCCAATCGGGACCCCTAGGACCAGGCCGACATTTGGCCGTCCTTCCCTCACCCTTCATAAGATTTTTCCATTCACATAGGATATGAGCGAATGGGGGACTGGGGCCTTTTTTTCTCCTGCCGTACTTTACGCACTTGGCCCTTACCCCTTCGTATTCATAAGCCTAAATAGTCTTTCAGGTGAGTAGCACTCACTCGTGGATACCGCCGTCGCAGGCACTGCATCGGTCTCCTGATGTATTCACTCTGCCTTTACTTATTCTCTCTCTTCACACTGTAAATAAATATATTTTCATTTTTGCACACTTCCGATGTGTCAGCGCCTGACTTTACGCGTCGTTTATATCTTTATTGTTGCGTCCGCTGACACCCATTTTCATTGCATCTGTGATTACCCTTACCAACAAACATACTTTGAAACTGTTTCTTACTTTTGGTGTCAGGGAGAGAGGGAGTTCGTTTGCGGCCCCCGGGAGTCGACTGGTAATCAGTCGTGTTGCTCCAATGCACGTCCTGGAGACACCGCACAAATAAGTCGTCACGTTTATTTATCCAACTAGAATTTTGGACGGTTATCGCGGACAAAGAAATGTCTCATTGAGGTGTCCATTTATTGCCTCTGTCGTCATAAGGCAACCTTGTCACGGGCCGGGAAGATCCGGAGCTGGGATCCGTGCCCTTTGGTTATTGGGCATTTAATCACCGGCTCACGTTTGGTCGGGAAGAGTCGATGTCACGCGGGAGTGCTGTTCACCAGTTCATCCTGGTTATAGGTAGGAAACGGTCTTTGCACTGGAAATCATAACAACAAGCAGTTAAATTGTGTTACTGGTGAAGATCTGGGGCCGAGACCGGGTCTGCTGATGACTGTAGATAGACCAGAGGATACTGTCTCGGTGTTTGCGGCTTTATCGATCGCCGATTACCTTTCGCTGTGCGACCTCGTGCCTCAAGTCGGTTGTTTTGGTGAAGGTGTCCACGGCCGGTTGGGACATTTACTACCTACGTTGGCGGTGCGCCTACCGACTGATTCGCTTGACCTGCTCGTTTCGTGCCTTGGGGCTCAATCGAGGGCCCCGGCAGACATTCGTACAGCGATGGGCTGGCTGGCAACTGCTAATAAGCCAGAAATAGCCGTCCCGGCCTCCCTCATCTGCGTCGGTGTCCTTATTCGACTATCGTGTCGGCTCAGTCGGTTTTCGAATCGATAATGTCTTACGGAGAAGTTTGTAACCGGCGACAGTTTCTGAAGTCAGCGGTGCAGTAGTCATGGCTTTTTTATTGTGATTTTGGGGTAGGTTCGTTAACTCCGGGTATGGGGGTTTACGAGATGCGAAAGACGCCCGAAAGCTGTACCGTACGCAAATGCTAGGAAAATACCAGAGAGCTGGGTCCACTGGTGTTTCATTATTTTACGATGGCCCGAGGACCGTCGGCTTGTCTCGAGTAACGAATAAGGAGGACCTGATCGTGATGTTGATATTAAGAGTGACAGACTTGATCTAAAACATGCAGCCTGAGAGGGGTCTGGAGATTGCTTGATCGAAAAAGCCTGTGGACTAAGGTCCGCGGATTATTATGCCTGGCTTGCCGCGTGCTCTGATTCTGCCCGCCACATCTGAGTTTTCTCGGTGTGACGGAGGTCCCAAGCTGTTTGAGACCAAATCAGGACTCAGGAAACTGGCTCCGCGTGGTTGTCGTGTCCGTTAAGCCGAGTAAGGGGGAGGCAGGTTTTTTCCCAAGTTTGGAAGTGCGGCATGCACACAGTCAATCAGGCTGTTGCCTTTGCGACCAAGGTTCCCTTTAATCACCAAGGGTATGTGGCGCCTATACGTAGGGGCTTGTCGTTTTGCAGCAGACTTGACCTACATTTTCGAAATTGCAGTTGATTATGAGAGGTTTCTTTCGATGTATTTAAGTTCCTTTTGAGGGTGACAGTACTTGCGGCAACGCTTTGGAATATTCGATTTTTTGGTAGCTGTTTGGGGAAAAAGTGTAACGCCCCACGAATTGGACTGGTTTGTTTGAATGAAGTGCATATTTGGCGAGGATCCAGGGTGGAGGTGTTATGACTGCGTGTCGATGAAAGCAGCCGATGTCCTGTCCCCGCATAACCGCCGACTCTCCGCATCTCCCATCGTAACGCTCAACCCGGCCCACTCTACGTCGGCATCTCCCACGGCTCTCCTGTAGCTGTCTGCGGTGCTTCATCCACCACAGGTTGTTTTGCAGGCGTGTTAGCGTCACTTCCCCATCCAGTCGGATCACCCCCTGGTGCAACTTATCTTTCCTTGTTTATTAATCGTTTTCCAAATGCACTAAACTCCTTGTTCCTAGTATATATTTTGTGCCCGTGTAACTGTTCTTGCTTGGATGAGAATTGTGATGTGTCTGACAACCTTGTTCAGCTCGTTCTAAGCCAGGAGGTATTGCCAGTGTCTTAGGTTACCCCGCATGTGTGTGCCACCGTCAACGCCTTCAGCCGCTAAGAATGGAGCTCCGTTCAATTTCCTTGAGAGAAAGATAGGCAACGACAGAAGAAAAATTACTGTACACATAATTGCATGCGACGGGAGTGGCTGTCCTCAGACGTATGTGTAAACATCGACCTGTATCCAATATCTGTGAGTAGTATAAGCGTATGTCGTCTAAACGACATGGTATTGGGGTATTTTTTCACTCATACTAATACGCCTGCCCTGCGCGATCATTCTCAACACTACAAACAGGGAAAGGTAGGAGTTCATGTAAGCGCGTCACCCTCACTGTTGTGGTTAGGATCTTGCTCAGTCCCATTCTGACCGCCAACTTGTTACTGGCGACAAGTTGTACCATAGGACACATTCCACATATAATTCGCAGACAGCTAATAAAATGTGCAACCGGTTAGATGCAGACTGCTGTCTCGCGGTCGTTATCGATCATCAGTACGCCACAGGTCTTATGAAATGAGGTATATGAACGTGTCAATTAAGTGCGTCACCCTCGCCGTTGTGGTTAGAGGCAGTTCGCAACAGTGGGATAGGATCCTTATTCCGCGTACTCTGCCTTATGTAAATATAAAGGAATTTTGGGTTAATCACGGTAAGGTTTAATAGATCCTTTTCGAAAACCTACCGATCTCCGACGGCGAGACTTTTGACCCAGTTTCCCTTTAACTTGTAAACGCCAAGTGATTCAGGTGCCCTATCAATGAGGAGCCTTTTACACAGTTTCCCCCTACTGTTGACTTCCTTTATTTAAGGATGGAGTCAATCAGCGAGCTCTGTTAGTCTTTTTTGCATGATTTGGCAGTGGCAAGGCATTCCGAGACAAGTGCCCACCTGCACATTAATTTATTTTTGACACCTTGGTTTGCGGGCTAAATTAGATGACGTTGCCATGTGTGTCTCCACGCCTGGTAGGGTAAGTTTAGTTCATTTCGCGCAGCAGAGCAGGACCTGCTGAAGCGACTACCTCATCATCCTGACTCAGATGTGACATAAATAAGATGGGGGCATCAAGAGCAATGTCTGATCAGAATGAAATTATTGAATTTGGCCTATCGCAAATGGACAAAATCATTGGGAAAGGGAATGAAAAGGATCCAATCAGCAAAAGGGATCAGAGGGCAAGGTCAACGGAATAATGTCCTGAGCAAAAAGAATCGGAATACGAAGAATTAAAACGTCCTCAATCGGAGAGAGGAAGTCAAAGATAGCCAAATCGTTGCGAGGTGCATGCATAGGCAACGACAAATGTAATTCTTGCAGTGGACCCACTTTTAGTCGTCTTGACCCTAACTTACATGGTAAAACACAGCGAGCCCTGCAAGAATGAAGCAAATTAGACGCGGCAAAATTTTCATTTAGTATACGTAACTGCACTCAGAAATCAGGACTGCGCTCTTTCCTGGTCGGTGGTGGTTTTCGTTGTCTGAGCTGTGTGAGTCAAGAGGTGTACCTGCTGATGGAGAATATCTCTGGTCCTCGTAGTCATCCCCGAGGTGTTCTGAGTCTGATTTATAGCTTGACAATCAGAGTTCACCTTCCAACACCAGCGTTTCCTCCTCTGACTTATTCAACATAACGCCATTCTCGAATACGTTTCGCGTGAGTAACCTGTTATCAGGGACTTGGACGAGCAGAAAAATTTTGGGTCGGATCTCATTTTGTAGCCGTACCTGCCGTAGACAAGCCCCAGCCTAATCCCAACTTCTATCCTTAACCTTGGCCGCTAACAGGCACGGCCATGCAATAAGATCTTGCCGAACTTTGTTTTGACGTAAACATACCCTGTCTGGTCGAAAACGTCACTATACTCCGTGAATGTCGAAGACACTTTCCCATTGGTGGCTGTTTCAGTTGGTCCGTGGCGGGTACCTCGTGGCGCTGAATTCCAAATACCTTATCGTTTGTGCATATTGGAGGAAATTGATTAATCTTACTAATCCACAGCCCTGTGTGAGGTGGATTACTAGTCAAATTCTTTTGATATCTGGTGGTGCTAATAAGACGGCACTAGGTGCAGGCAGTCTGGAATCATCTTGCTCAAGTTTTGGCAAATTTCACTAATATGAGCCGACTTTCAAAAGTAAGGGGGTGGATTTAAATGCCTGGTATGACAAGCCGTTGACGGAACATACTCCGTTGTTCCCACTAACAGGGACGTTTTGCTTAAGTGAATTGTGCGGCACGTGGAACACACATCCATCAAAACGTTCTGCATAGGTAATTTTTCAGACACCACCTTTATTGGTGGGTCTTTCTCTCGCAATGTGGGAGTTCATATAGTCACGTGGAGTGCAAAAGACACCTACGAACTGAGTGACCTTGTAGTAGAGGGAGAGAATACCAACCAATGCGCATCCACTGCTTTTACTGACTAACGATCCACCCAGCAAACCTAGGGAATGTAAGCATTGATGGTGCGATAAAATTTGTGATACGACTCTCCTATGATAATTTTTTTGTTTAACTACCACAGGGTTCCTGTGCCTGTTAGTTTTTCGAAATACGAAAGCCGTTGTATTTTTTTTCCTTCAATGATGTTATCCCCGAGCGCAAAGATCTAACAACCGTTGTAATCGATAGTGATCTGTTATCGTATGCATGCACTTTTCTCAACTAATGAACGGCTTTAAGGAGCCGAACACAGCCTAGATTACCTCCTAGTGGAACACCTTTAGACTGGAACTGCTTTTACGAATTCACTTTTCACCCTAGGTCGCTGGTAAATGCAGAAATGGTGAGCTCAAATTTTAGGATCATTTGATAGTCTCTCCTCAGCAACTTATATTGTACCGGTAATTGATCCTTAGCAGCAAGGTTGCAATTTTATTCCCAAGTGGTCCAAATGGAAATGACAAACCACGCCTTGGTTAATTCTTCGCGTTCAGTGTGATGACACGAACTTAATGACCCTATCGATTGAGGGTTATCTTTCAGATGGAATTTCTCCGGCTCTGAGCTACTGTCGCTGGCAGCATTCCTTCATTTCGTTATGCCCTGTCAAGATACACAAAATAATAAACTGGAATTTTGAACGTCCACCTACTGGAGTTTCCTTGGACTAAAAAAAAGAAATGATTCAGACCCATGTATTCTGCATAGTTTCCATGTCATTCAGAGTGCCAAGCCGTCCTTATTCTGAAAGAAAAGTTCACATGCGACTCGTCTAAGGTTTTAGAAAGGGAGTACGAGGGGATTTTCTAAAGCGCCTAGAATTCCTGCTCCACATTCCTCCGTGGACGCTCTGAGTATGTTTGTTTGCGCGAGAGTTTAGCGAGGTGATTGCCAATCTATCCTCTTTTTGCTATGGTTGGCGAGTTTCCTTTAGGTATAGCTTCGAAAATAATTTTTTCCAGTAAGTGCGTCATCAAAATGAATTTGTGACTTTTCCTGCACATTATGACCACTGAATTTAAGACATACAATTCATGATGGAAGAGGAAATAAACTACCAGCTGGCCATCCTTGAAGTCCTCGTCCGCCGCCAAGGTTGTGGTTGCCTAGAAACAAAACTGTTCAGGAAAAAGACTAATTGAACAAAGCACTGAGCTTCAACAGCAACCACCTGATCAGCTCCAAAAGCGGTTGAGCAATGCGCTGCATTGGAGCGTTGAGACACATTACGATGAACCGCGGTTGTTGATGTACAATATCTTCGTCATGTGCTTAGAACGAATGATTACCTGGGCAATTTCCTAAGCCGGTGCACGTGCGTAAACGCGATGAGAGACAAAGTTCAATCGACTCCAAGTTTCTGCGAGGGCTCCCGTACGTGAAGAACGTCTCAGATGCCGTCAGTCACCTGTTCACACCACTTTTATTTGGAGTCGCACAGCGGCCGGGGACAACTATTAGGTGCCGGGTCATGAGATCGAAAAACCAACTGTCATGGCAGCAAAGCAACCGGAGTTGTTTACCGAATCTGGTGCGGTTGCAAACAAATCAACCAAGTCGAAAAAGCCGAAAGATCGCCCCAAAAGCGAATGACCAAACATGCAGCAGCAGCAGCAGTGAGGAGGGGTAACACTAGCTTCCAGATAACGGTTCATTCGACGTGGCCCGGTCACACCTTCAACTATAACGGAGTCGAAATTCTCGCAAGAGGTGACAACCACGTGAGCCGCAGGTTGCCTGAATCCTGGTTCCCCGACCAGCTTTCAATTAACAGACCCAATGATACTCCGCCTCCATATTTTGTGCTAAGATCTTGCCTCAGCAAAATGACTAGCCGCACGGGAGACCAGCAGTTCCGGCGACAGTGCACCAAATCGCTTAGTAATCGTCACGCCAAGAATAAACAACAACGATAAAATCACGACGACTAACGACTCAGGTATGGACGGCTAAGCTATCATCGCATGAAATATGGCCGCTTGCGATGAAGGCGAGTGCTGCTAGTGGGTGTAGGCGTGTTATTGCAGGGCCACTTTGTCGCGTAAATACTGCGCTCAATATGCCTCTACTACCCTTTTCTCCGATCACCTCTGATGAGTGATAGTCAGGAAAGTCAGTCCAATACTGAAGAGTTTAGATGCCCACACCGATGTATCTGGAATGGTCTGACCTTATCGTGTCGCGGCAAGCGGATTCTCGAGAACACCGGAGTTCGCCGAGAAGGGCTGAAAGTCTTTAGTAGCCAGGAGAAGTTCTGATCAACGACTACTGCTTATAAGGTATAACAGAGGGGGAGGGGGGGGGGGAATGTGTTCAAGCGCTTGTCCATCCTGTCAGAGTGATGGTTTGGGCAGACAATCTAGTTATTGGGACAGAGGCAGAATATCAAGGCACCCTAAAATAGAAGCCGTCAACATTACCACCACAGACTATTTTCAGGTGACTGACTGTCTGGCCCGTCATAAGAAATTTCCAAACCAAGTCTGACAGAATCACTGTGCAGGCGGTGATAAGTTTGAGTCTGTTAATAGGTAAAAACAGAAAAGTCGTTGACGGACGTGACTCCAAGTAGTTTATCAGGTAGACCCAACAGGCAATCGGCCATTAGTGACAATAATTCCCGGCTGCGAGAATTTATTAATTTTTCTTGTCCCGTCAATAATTCCATCCCGGCCACTCTGGCCTAATTTCGATGTGTATGCGTGAAAAGAGGATTTCTTTTTCATTTAATTGTGGACTTTGTTCCAGTCCCTTCTAAACTGCATGTGTGAAATGCTTCTAAGTAAAGTCATGTATCTGATTTACAAAATTTCTGCTCCCAATACGGCCTCTGCCAGGCTAATTTCCATGCGCAAATTAGAAATAGCGCTGCTGTAGAACAATCGCTTTATAATTATAAAAACACCTAAAGTAGTATGCGGCAGTTTCCACAGCTGAAAACCAAGTGTAAATAGTCTCTATCAAACAATGGCGCCCACTAGCCCATGATTAAACGCAGAACGTAAGAAACATTCTGGGCGCTAGAATCCGACACTGTTGAATACTCGGCAGCCACAACCCTCTTTGAAAAGCCCCATGAGACTTCATTGAATTTTGTTTGGTTCAGAAGGCTGAAATAAAACAACTGACACAACTGGGGGAGTGCCGGTGACTGCGACGCGACTCTGTCGAGGCTAAAAATACGCACTAGGATCTAGGAACGCAAAGCTGGCACAAAACATCAAGTCACAGCATTGATGAGTTGACTGTAGCACGCCAAGCACCACTGCTAGAATGAAAACTGTCTGTGTCAGTCCATCGAAACGGTTAGAGCGGAGACCTAAGCCGAGTCTGCGTAGCTATTTCTAGCTATAATCCACTGTATGCGCGCCTAGCATATTACGAGGCATTACAGGGTGCGATCTGAAAGACCTCTAGGTGACATCCTACTTGTTTAAAATCGCCCTCGGTTTGGCGGGGGAGGGGGCAGCACGAAATCATATTGCAGTGCATGTAGAAAAAATGACCGCATGGTCAACCACCGTGCGAAATCAAATTTTTTTCGTGTCCTTGCACCTAGTACCTAGCAATAATGCGATGTTACTTAGATTTTCGCTGCAATTCGACCCACGAGTAAGTCGTCCTAGTGATGGCAGTTGGAAATAGTCGAAAACGGCGTTACCACCTCTCAACGCGAGAAAAATCGTGTTGTCAGAAACAGTGCTGCTATTCCGTAATCAGACACTTATAGGGACCGTTGCAGTAAACACAACTAGGACTTTCGTAGACAGCGAACAGGAGAAGATGCCAATTCACAGTATGCTTCGAGAAAGAGCAGCGAGAAATTAAGCTTCCCGAACATCGAATACCCGTGGCAAATATTCTTATTTCCAATGAATAAGGTATAGATTGAAATACCGTCTTAAAGGCATAAGTTGACGATGACGGTTCTAATGGAAAAGCGGATAAGCTTGCGCGCTATAATTCTAGTGGAAAGACTGATTGGAGGTATGGACCCCATCTTACTCCTAATGGTAAAGACGTCAAGTGACACTTTGACCCGAACAAAATGGAATCACTCCGCCAAACTGGCAAGATAGTTGAAGGACAACTACAAGACAACGGTGAACACAAATCCAGCAGAGGCTTAATTAACTTTGCTGTCCACCGGCCCTTAGGGAGACGACGTTTAGCATTCAAGATGGGAGAACGAGGTGACGATTAAAGGAAATGGCAAGTATTGCGTAAGAGACGACCAAAATTCTTACAAAAAGTACAGTGCTTCGGAGAAAGGAGAGAAGTGGGGAGAGAGAAGGGTGAAGGGGAGCCGTTCAAAACAAGAAGGTAGGAAAATCAAGTTCACCCTCACTCTCATCACAGCCGAATGAGTGAATGATGGCACTAGGCGGAAGAGACCAGTGTGCTTGTGGAGGCGGAGGGAGCCGGATTTACAGAATCTGTAGGGTTTAGAGTTGCTGGTGGAGGCAGAAGATTGTAGAAGACGGTGGAACCGATAACAAATACATTGCCCGCCACAAGGAACCAGGTGGGATTGTGGTGCAGAAAAACCACTGACAGCAAGAGGGTCAGAATGATGGCCACAGAGGTTGAGAAGTTCTTTAAGATATTGTCCGCATAGCAAACTACCGCGGCCACTAACAGACCCCCTAGAGATTGAATGAAAATAACCAACCAGACGAGGCTGTCGTAGCCAAAGAAGAAACCGTGTTTCGCGACTAGAGCCTTGTCCTGAATAAAAACTGAAACGAGGCTGGTGATGATGCCGTAGACGGAGAGCTGTATGTTACGCATAACAATTGTCTTCTTAGTGGTCTTAAGGACGAGTTCAAAGAAGACGCCAGTGAAGCCTGAGAGGATGCAAG